AAAAATATTTCAGTGGACATGTGGACCACATCACATACAGATTGTAATACAGAGAGAGACAAATTTACACTCCAGAATAATTCGTCATGGACTCCTATGGAAAAAGAGCCAGGAGAAAGGTCTCCAAACTGTAGCCTGAAAGCTGTTGGTCAGACTCAGTGACAGGATGTAATGGATGCTGTCCTTTTTCATGTCAGGATTAACTGACCTTGTAAATTGGCCAAAACCGGCACAGCAAATGCTCTGCAACTTCTCTGCCATGTTTCAAACCCTGCACATGAAACTGCCTGTACACCAGCCCCCAGCCAGGCTAAAGGGGAGAAGAGGGAGGATGTCAGCTTTCATTTGAGAATGTGGTATTTCCAGACTGTCAAATTTCAGACTTTTGTTCCAGAAATCTACTAATCCTTGCCTGCCCCTCATCACTCTTTAGATATGGGTTCAAAATCTTCAGCATATTTTATTTCTTCTTTGCATCTCCTCTTATACCTCTCCCCCAGCACCAATTTCTCATGTTTATTTTCACTGTTTCTCCAACAGCTTTGTTCCAGACCTTTGCTGATACTTTTTTACAACCCATGATGATGATGCCTGACCCCAGGAGCTGGGATGAATGAGCATAACACAAATGACTCTCTTAACAGCTTTTAATTTTTTTTTTCTAATAAAGATATTCTTCCTAAATATTTTCCAATGGAGACATATAGCCTGTTAGGGTGTAAATACATATATGGAGCAGCTACAAGTCTGCTGACAGCATGCAAGGGAGAAGGGGAGTGTCTAAGAGAGAACTCGTTACTCTTACATACAACTGATTGCTCAGTTCACTTTGGTTTGAATTGCTGCACTTTAGGTGTTAGACAGTTATGCTACACCATCCATAGGGAATGCAGACATAGGTTTTTCTAAATGTGCTTAGCATGTCAACATTTTAAGCATTGGCTTGTGATTGTTACCACTAAGGCTCGGTGAGAGAGGGGCCTCGGTATTAACTATTGAAAGCAGGGGGCCTAGTGACTGCTATTGAAAGCAGATCTGCAGGGTATTTGTATTCTTTGTCATGAAAGATGTTTACTGTATTCAGCATTTCGCTGATCACCCTATAGTGTCTTTTATCTTTTACATTCAAAATTCATTAAACAAAGTTGGGTGTTTTTTTTTTAACAAAAAAATGTCAGCACCGCTTCACACCAGTCTAGCTGACAGTGCGTTTGACTAGCACTTTCAGCCCACAGAGCTTTTTTCTTTTTCTAAACCAAAATGACAGATAAAAAAGAATGTTTTTAAAGAAGGTGCACTGTAGTAGTTTATGCCATTCTTTTTCTTCACTGGATTCAGTCACGAAAATAAGTCCTATTACGAACAGTGTATTTCTAGAAACAACTAAAGCACTCCTTCAGAGCTGCAGTCCCCAAGAATTGCACTCTTCTAACAAAAAAAGCCCTCTAAAAGAAACAGAAGCGCTGTGAATGATTACAAAGGCAAGTACAAATTTCAAATCTTTGAGGACATTAAAATATATTTAATTAAACCTCTCCATGCTGCAAAATGGGCAATTTAGTCTCTAGTACTACCTCATTGTACATCAGCTTGGAAAAGGGTGTAGCTGGAATACTTGTGTATCAGCGATGTGCCATTTGCTGTGCCAGAAGGGAAAGTACGTGGAAGACCTTTCCCTCAGACCTTCCTTGGTGTTTAACTGAGGTGGGGATTTTGGGGTTCATCTTTCTATTTCACTAAGCACATAAAATACAGAAAGAAGACGATGGGAAGTGGAAAGCCATCCAAACCAGAACAAACAGAGAAGATGGTAATGAGAACACATTTCAGTGTGCGTTAGAAAATCTATTTTGCAATGCTATTTCACTATTTTCACCTCAAAAAATTAACTCTCCAGCTCCAAGCACCTTTAAGAAATCCTGTTTCTTCAATGTTCATTTTTATGTTAGTGACTTCTGCTTGGATTTACAGTTTCACTTCCATTTTTATTATAAAAATATTACTCTGTATTCTACATTGCTTATTCTACAGAAAGGATAGTTATTGCCTGTTTCATCTAAAAATGGGAAAAGAGAGAACGAATAATCTCCTAGATACAGACTGGCGCAGGAGTTAAGCAGCGTACTACAAGCAAACTAATCCCAATGAAGTTTGCTAAACACACAGTGATACTGCTGACAAAGCCCATGTGAAAGCACGCATCCTTGCCACATGTAATATCAGACAAAGATTAATAAGATCTTATTGACATAGATTCACTCTGGTTATAACTTCAGTGCTTAGCATTTTTCCAACACTTCAGCAACCTTCTGCCAAAGCCTAGAGTAACGCCAAGGACACTTGTAAAGGATGAACAAGACAGCAAAAGTGGTAAAAATGAGGATTTCAGAGGAGGAAAGAACATGATCTCAAAACGATCAATCACTGTTTCCTAGTGCAGATGTCCTACTGTAAAAAGGAAAAGGAGATAAGGTGCAAAACTGAGAGAACAGTAGGAAAGGACAAAAGGGTCCGTTAATGGGAAGAAAATAACACAACAAAATGTGGATGAGAAGGTTGGAATATGTTTCTTCAGGTCTGAAAGGTCTGGACCACGCAGATGGAAAAATATCACACTGTGGTAGGACACTCAGGAAGGCGGACCAGCAAGCATTCTGCTTTCTGTGGAGTAGCTAAAGAAAACTGCACTGTGTCTGAGGAGTTCGTGAGAGATTGGTGCTGAGAAGAAGCTTTGTGAGCGGCTGCTCCCAAATCTCTCTTGTATTTTATATTGGTCCTTTACATCCATGATATTTAGGGTTTGATGAGTTTAAGATACGGGCTATTTTCCAAGGCTGCAGAGCACAACCTCACACCCCACAGCTCACAGGAGCCTCTTAGCAAGAGTGACCCCAAATAACGGGTGACAGCAGGGAAACCCCAAAGCTGGAGCTGCAGCATCCTTGTAAGTGGGGTGGAAAGTCTCATCCACACAGAAATGGGAAAGAGCAACTAGCTCCCACCTATTTCATTCTTGTGTGTTTGCTGGGGTAATAACAGGGACAGAGCAACAATGATCCAGCCATCATACCAAGTACATTCATACCCACGACTACTCGTTAGAGGGGTATGGCACAAAGTGGTGTGACCCTTTCAGTACAAGACTATTCCCAGAAAAGGAGCTGACCTGTAAGAGAAACCACACAGAAGACACTCTGGTACTGCAGGAGCACTGGCCTAAAGCTGCACCAATAACTTCACTATCAAGCACCACGAGAGCATCCCTCCCAACCCTCCTCTTAGCTCCAACTCTGCTTCCAGAGAGGGGTATGGCACAAAGTGGTGTGACCCTTTCAGTACAAGACTATTCCCAGAAAAGGAGCTGACCTGTAAGAGAAACCACACAGAAGACACTCTGGTACTGCAGGAGCACTGGCCTAAAGCTGCACCAATAACTTCACTATCAAGCACCACGAGAGCATCCCTCCCAACCCTCCTCTTAGCTCCAACTCTGCTTCCAGAGAAACTTCTCTCCCTGGCTTGCTAATCATGCGCTGGTTGAGCAGGGGCTGGAGGCAGGACTGGG